TGCACTGTATCCGACGTCATTTCTCATTCCGATGGTCCGGTAGCACGCAAATGCCGGCTAAACATTCGGAGACTGATATGAACGAGATCATCAGCTTTCACATGTCATGCAAGCGTGTTCATAGCGACAGAACAACCTTAACAGACACAACGCAGTCCATCTAAACCAGACACAACTCATTCCGCCCAAAAAGACTTCTCACAAACCTCAATTAAAACAAAATTCACATTCTGTACAAGCGATGTATACTGTCACAAAGGAGACTGCACAAGTGCGGTGTACAGTTTCCTGTCCTCAGGCAAACACATCATCAAGCCATCAGATACATCATCAAAACACCACACGTCATCACATCAGGCCATCCCCGCCTTCGCAGCCACACACGGTACGAATACTGCACACAACGTTAAACCGGGACTCCCTCCCAGACTCCCTCCCCTCCCTCAGACGGCAGAGGCCCGTTAGCCTGTAGCTAGAGCAAAATACTGAAAGGCCCGGACGGTTCTGCAAGAGGGCACCTGATGTACATGCAACAAAGCACTGGACCAAAGCACTGAAATGAGAGAAAACAACCTGCATAAGCACATTTCTATAGTGTGTCCTCTGTTTACTTAACTATGAAACTCGCCGTTTCCTAGCATCAACTTGACATGACATGTTCAGCGCCTCAGCACTCCGTTTTGCTCCACGCAGTCCTGCAGGGTGCGCGGCGCTGCAGCACGACATTGTCTCAGATCCCGCAGGTAGGGGTGGTCACCCCTCCGTCCTTCAGAGGACCACCGGCAAGCAACACTGACGTCCACGAAATGGACAGCTCCTCCGCCTCTCCAACCGGAGGACGGCAATGGTGGACGCGCTTTTCCCCTGACGTAGTTTACGCTGGGCGTGGAGCTGGCTCTGGCGGACAACGGAGGACGTGGCGGCGCACCAGTCCGCTCTGAATGTCGACAGCGCCTCCCCTACTCTGAAAGCCGACAGCGCCTTCCCTCATGTCGGGCCTCGCTCAGGGTGATCGTCCAGATCCTGAAGAATGGACTCCTGCATCTTGCTTAGGAGATCCGACGGGATGCTGCGTGCACCGACCGTTGCGTTAGCCACAGATGGGGAGGCTGCGGGGCCTCCCCGTCTGGCCCCGCAGCCAGACGGGAGGCCCCGCAGAGACCACCGCGGGCGCCGAAAGGTCTGCCGGTCTGACGTTACGGAAGATCCACGAAGTCATCATCATCGCTGTCGTCATCGGTTCGGTCCCGTGCGTTTTCCGTGGGAAGCTGAAAGCTGACATTTCGGTGGCCTCCCCAGACGGCCGTGGCGTCAGCTCCATGACGAGGCTGGCCTGCGCCCTCCGTGTGGCAAACCGTGCAGATGGCGTATCACGTCGTCCTACTGAAGTCCACTTATTTAAAAATCGGCGTATTTCATTGGAAGGAGGTAATTTTCTCCTCCCAAAATTGTTCAATCTACAGAGACAACTGACTTTATTACGGCTGACTTGATGTTGACTAGCTATTACAGCATGGTCTTTTTTGTAACTGTTAGGTTGATCTTTCAGTTCTAAGACCCCGAATACGTGAAGTCTCCAATTGCTTCTGACTGTGGTACTTTTTTACTGTGGTACTGACTTTCTGACTGTGGAGTCCGAGACGTTTGAGATATCAACACGTTCAGACGTCTCATAAGCACCCACCGCAAGTATTCTTTGCAAAACGTAGTGCGGCTAAGGTGGGTACACGTACGACGGAACAGTTACTTGAGTACTAATGTTTTGAGTAATGCTGTTCTGCAGCAAATCACCTGGAAACCTTAAGGGTCGGGTCTTCGAAACCTTGCAGCCTAGCCGTCTTCCTTCGGGCAGACCTTTGAACGCACCGGCTATCGGACGTTAGGATGTAGGAGCCCAATGGACTACACTAATGACGTAGGACGTGTATTTAGGACGTGTATTTCTAACTGCGCGCCCGGTTGTGATCACCGATTCCTTTTGGCTACTGTATCTCATGTAGTCATAAACTTTTTGTACCGGGTATCAGGTGTCAGAAGGTAAGAGCTGGAATGATTGTGTATGTTAGTATCGCTCTATTGCCGAGGTCCGCACAGACCTGGTAAATTTCTCATTTTTCTGTTTACCAGTCAGTGGCTGGGTCTAAGTCACAAATAGGTAAGTGATGTCACGAGCATTGTGTTTCAAGAAATTGTGATGTTGCAAAGGTAATTTTAGACAAACGTACCCCATACATTTTTTGCATCCAAATGATTTGAAAAATCAGTGCAAGGTGGCCTGGCCAGGGCTCTACACACGAGTGTGAAGATGAGCGCACATGTTTTTTGTAGGTGTCCAATGCACAGGATTTTTTTCAGACTGGCCGCGGACATTCTGTGTTATAATGACCTTGGTTCATACACCTATGCGTCACCTTCAGCCACTGGCCTTCGCACACTGATTTGTCAAATTTGCTAGCCGGCCAATACAAAGCCACCTTTTGATCAAAATGTCAGCATATTCCATTATATTGTTTGATGACAGTTGACATTAAAAGTATACATCATCGTGATGGAAGGCCCATTTACCATTTCTTTAATAATCCCCAAGCTTCTTTTTCGCACAAAGAAAACTACTGCGAATGGGCTTGGGACTTCCGTGTGGTCGTACACTCTGCTGTTATAAATGTGTTACGAAACATAATGATTGTCTAAAAGACAGACCAAGTCTAGCCAACAACACCCAAAACTTACGGATTATAAAACCAGCTTAAACAGACATTACCGATTCATTAGATCAACACCACCACAACAAACACGAAGAAGAACACAAATGACGTGATGCCGAAGTCGAACCTCGCGTTTTGTTTTTCAATACGTCGCTTGAGCGCCGCAAGTGTGGTGAAACATGACAAACCAGCCGCAATCCGTCAGCACTATTGCTCACACTCTTTACGATGGCTGCCTGGAAACGCATACGCGAAAAAATATATGCGGTAACAAATGAGTCGTTTTGCATGTTTCGCTCGCTCGCGCGCCGAGATAAACAACGAGATTATTTGTAGGTTAGGTTCATCAGTGTACGGCATATACGGCATCCGCATTTTTCGATTTAAAAGAAGCCCCGGTCGCCTTACATTCGTGTGCATTGAAAGCAGTTTTGTTTTTCCTTTGGACGACCGGGCTCCCAACACTTCTGTCTTTCGCCACAGCGAACGTTTTTGCTGCGTGTTTTTGCAAAACATACATGCGTCTGTTTTGCACCGCAGCCTGACCATTCGCCGCATTATATCGATCGCACGTGCTCCATGACCCCGATCTAACAAAGGACACAGTTTCTCGGTCTGGACAGCCGAGGGTATATTTATCATTGGTGTAGAGAGCACACAGAGAAGTCAGGCGGCTCGATTAACATGAGGGCGTGTCTGCAGGAATGACCCGAATGTGGAGTTTTATCTCAAATAAGCGCTGCTGGAAAGGTCGACGTAATAGCAGCGCCAAGGACACTAGTCGTTTCAGAGCCACAAGCGGCAGTTGTGAAGCTGGTTTGCTACTCTTTCTCGGCTCGGACGTAAACTTACCGCTCTAGCCGTCTTCCTGACCTCGGTGGCCGGCGCCGTCCGCCCTGGGTGAGGTGGGCGTCAGTAATGAGTGAGGTGGGAGTGGTGCCGCGGCTATCGTGCGTCCTGGGCGAGGTGGGTGTCCGTCCTGACTGAGGTGGAAGTGGCGCCGCAGCGGCCGTCCGCCGCTTGCCTCGGGTCGGGTCAGTCGGGTTCCCCATCGCGGCGCACAGGGGAGGGGTAGGGGTGCATGCAGTAGATCCAGGGCCGCCTGACTTTTCGATGTTTCCGCAAGACGCTCAATATAGCTCGTCCACTCTATACATTTAAGTTATTGCGCAGCTATTCTCGGCGGTTGGTAGATGGGCAGTGCAATGACCTTTCGCGTAGCCTAACATCCGTGGCATTGTCAATGGCGAGACAGCAGGCTGAGCGGGTCTTAACGTCAACGATGCGGAAAATGTGGAGCTAAGCGCCTGGGTCGGGCCCAGCTAGCGATGCTTTGGACGGGCTCTCTCTTCTCTTTATATCATCTCTTCATATGCACTACCACCAATAAATCTCCAGCTACAAGTAGCACGTATTCTTTAAGAATTGTGCAACAGTATTTTGGAAACAATTGGGCGTAGGTAATTCGATCAGGAACAGCGTTTCCGCGACAAACGCAAAAAGGATTGTGTATGGATTATGTTGCACCTGGAGGAGAAAAAGGGAGAGGTTGACGGACCGTGGATCTACTCGTTTCAGGGCTTTTCAATTATTGATGCTAGATTCAGGCAAAATAAACGGGTAGAGACGTGAGAACAGCTTTATGGGTAAGCGGACATAATGCTTATGAATAATTACGCAAAAACAGCACTATCCGCCACATAGGCGCAGCAGCACGTATTGAGAAGTCACAAAGCCATCTTTCCCAAAACCGAAAGCAAATGCTGTAACCTACTGTGTGACAACCGGCTGCGACCTACCCTGTCTAAACCGAGACGGGTCGCGTCAAGAAGGATAGCTGCATAGTCTACACACACTCGTAGTCCAGTGGGTGGTAACCAATAAGCCTCCAAAATATCAGCGGTTCTCCGATACTACGAAGTCAACACAAACAAAAAACTTTTACAAGGTCATTGACCTCTGCGACTGAAGTTTGCATGCTTTGGCAGGCCAAGGCATGCCAATCCCAATGCTAGCTAATGTTCCAGCCATAGACATCAGCCATGGGTATTTTGTGCGCTATATGTATTGTGCGCAGACACCATGGGCATCAGAGTATCTTCGTTTGCCAAGCTCATGACAGCAGAAAGTAGCTGTGGGAATTTCCCCCCCCCCCCCCCAATCTGTACATTGAAGTGTGGATGCAGTGCGGTACGATTCTTTGCCTTTTACGATGCATTCAACAGAGCCTTGTACGCCGCTAGTGTACGCGTCAGCAAACCCATAAGAAATGACGAGTTTTTTTCTCTGTTGCAGATATCTATTTTAACATGACCCTTCGCCGGAAGACGTTGTTCTACACCGTGAACCTCATCATCCCGTGCGTGGGGCTCTCGTACCTGTCGGTGCTCGTGTTCTACCTGCCGGCCGACTCCGGCGAGAAGGTCGCCCTCTGCATCACCATCCTGCTCTCGCAGACCATGTTCTTCCTGCTCATATCGGAGATCATGCCGTCCACCTCGCTGGCCGTGCCGCTACTCGGAAAGTACCTGCTCTTCACCATGATTCTGGTCAGCATCTCTGTCATTTCCACGATCGTCATTCTCAACATCCATTACCGCAAGCCGTCCACGCACAAGATGGCGCCATGGGTGCGCCGCTTCTTCATCCACAAGCTGCCGCCGTTCGTCCTGATGAAGGTGCCCGAGGAGTCGTCCACCACGTCCCCGTTCGAGATCAAGCCCAACGGCTTCCACGGCTACCAGCGGGCGCCCACGGACCTGGATGAGGGCGTTCGACTGCATGCGCTCAACTACTTCGATGACGAAAAGAAGTACCCGTTTGAGATTGAGCGGGCTATTCAGAACGTCAAATTCGTGCACCATTGCTGGAAAATCCAGGATCAGTACGACGAGGTAAGACTGATGGCCATTTTCACGCTTAAAGGCCGGCCTCCTAAGCTCCACCGATGGCTGTATCGGCTTAATTAGTGACTCTGACATGCGGCGTGCCGAGTGTACGCAGATGTGGACATCGTGTTTGGATTTTATGGTCTTTTTTCCCACTGCTTGAAAGCAATGTTCATAAGTGTCTCCGTCGACATCAAAGTGATCTGCATGAGCACGTTCCGAAGTGCACAAGACTGCATGTGCACAAGCAGCTTCTGTCTCTGAGCGAAACTTATGGCCGTCGGTCGGTTCTGCGCACGGAGAGAAATAATGAAGCGGTGCTGACTGAGCGCTGCTCGACCCACTGGCAGCGGTCACGACAGCATTTCTAGATAGCTCGCGTCCGTTTCGCAGACACAGGCGCGCTGACCGAACACCTTGACGCATGACTGGGTGAGCGGAGCAGCTCTCTGCTGTCGGTTGTGGGCCGCCCGCCAGGTCGAGCCTGCTGGCTATTTCCAGCCCACGGCGAGCGACAGAGCGGTCCGGGCCTTCTGCGTCGACCGCGACCGCCGACCGCGAAAAGTTACGGCCGTCCAGCCTGTAAAGCATACGAGTCGTTAGTATGTCTGACGCCCGCACAGTCGCCGTCCGCTCTGAGTGGCAATTGGACTTTCTGGAAACGCGGTACGGCCGGTGGGGCCCTAGAGAATGTCTTTCAGAAGAGCTGCTGCTCCTGCGTACAGCTAATTTGCCATACGCGCACGCGGCGGTAGTAATTTCGAGAAAGCTACCATTTATGTGAGATTGATGTAGATCTGCGTAAATCTGTCATGAGAACCGGAGGCCTAATCTGCCTATGTTGACGTTCAGAAGGCCACAATGTCAGTAACCACCGTTGCTGAGGATTGGTATATTCCTCCATTATCTGTAATGGAGGATGTTGGCGATGGCGATGGCATCATAAGGCGATGTTGGTTGCCGTCACATGATGAAGAGGTCGGGTTCAGTGGGTGGCTTTAACTTATCAGGAGATCCTGTGGATTCTGCTTGCACTCGTTAATGCAACCGTTGGTTATTGAGCTTTAAGGGCGCGTCAGTTGTCCTTGTTGTTTGCGCCTCGTCAGTGTACCCATTACTGTAGCCAGTGGCGTTGCCTCGGTCACAAGGCATCTCGCGTACCCGCGGGGAGCGTGCCGGCGTCTCGCGGGTCCGCGTGGCGGGCTACGGCGTCGGGTTGCACTGCCGCCCGGGGCGGCCGGCGGCGCAAGCCAGTGCCGGTGTCGGGCCGGCGCGTGAGAGTCGGCCGACGCGCAGGCAGCTGGCCGGCCGTGCAACAGCGCGCGCTCGTCCCTATTGATCGCGCCGGCCGACCATTGCAGGAGGACCAGGACTGGGCGTTCATCGCCATGGTCATGGACCGCGTGCTGCTGCTGATCTTCAGCGTGGTCTCGCTGCTCGGCACGTTCGTCATCCTGTGCGAGTCGCCGTTCCTGTACGACACGACGCCGGCGATCGACATCCAGCTGTCGGAGGTGGCGCACCAGATGGACATGTTCGGCGACGCGTGAGGCGGCCGCCCCCGCCGGCCCGCGCTCGTCGCCGGCGCCGCGCGCGCACGCGCTCCACACCGGCGTGACTGACGGGGAAGCGTCCGCGATGGGCGTCAGTGTGAACTGCTGACGTCGGCACGCGTCCCAGTGACGTGGTTGAAGAGATCACAGCCCAGTGATGGCGGCACCAGTGCTGCGACCGCACCTCAGCGCCACCGCTGGCGGGATCACACCGGGACCCGGCCGTCACGGCCCGACACTTCGGGACCCGGTGGTCACGGCCACATCGCTGACGGCACCGAGCACGTGCAGACGCTACCAGTGACATCAGAAGACTGGGTTTATATCCATTATATTGGGTGACTGGCTAGTGTGTTTTGCGTGAGTAGGGTGCGCTGTGAGCTGATTGAATTTCGTACGGTGCATGGCGTCTGCATGCTTTGTGCAATGTTCTGCATTAGGGGGGATCCTACGGTGGTTAGTGCGTGCCAGGAGCAAGACGTGACTTTTGATCGGCCTTTTCGGCCAAGAATTCGAAAGCAAAATTGAGCGTTTGTTCGATATCGATCAGTGCAGACCCAGCCTTGTGAAAATATGACGACTAGATGAACTATGCATATCAGTATCGCTCGTGTCTGCTGCGAAACTGAACTTAAACGCTGCCGTAAACTACGATCGCCATTATAAAAGGCATATTAGCCAATTTAGCGTGATTTCCACAACAGCGTGGATTCTTTTTAAAAAATAGCTTTCGGTTGGCGAGTTGTGAGTTACACACCAAGTGCACACACAGACACCAGACATTGAACACATATTATTTGCAGTGCATATTTAACGGACAAAACTGCTTGGAATTGAACTGGATGACGTCGAACTGCATATAATTTAACAATGCAGAAGATTCTTCGGATTGTTCAGCCGTTTTTCCAGCGCTTTGCTTTTATAACGCCATAATGTCATAAATAGTTGGCTATCAAATGCAAACAGGGCCGAGATGAGCTCAATGAACCCCGATTTTGGTGAAGCAGGGAGGCCGGAAAAGCGTCGTCTGGGTTTAAGGACAAAAGCAGGGGGGCGTGATCTGCCTGCAGCCACGTGGCCGGCACGGACACAGAGCGTGGCGTACCATAACAGCAAACCGAATGTGGGCTCCTTACCAACAGTGCATATAGTTCTTCAGGAACTTCTCCTCCCAACTAAATTGCATGGAGTAACTAGCTCTTTTACAATGGCTTGGTTGCTTGATACATATCATATTTTTGAATCACTGGAAGCATAAATTGGTTTGCGCTCCGTTGAACTCGACGTAGTTATCGCGCTGTAATCATCGCTAGCAAGCCATCTCATTGGCCAGCTCTGCTGGCCAGTTCGCCGGCTGTACGAAGCCTCACCGGTCGCTGGCGTGGTCGTCGTGGTCTGGACAGAGAGGCGGAGCGCCGACCGTCGATGGCGCAGATACACTGATGGCAGAGCGCCGGCCGGCGATGACGCAGAGACACCGATGGCAGAGCGCCGGCCGGCGATGACGCAGATACACTGATGGCAGAGAGCCGGCCGGCGATGACGCAGATACACCGATGGCAGAGCGCCGGCCGGCGATGACGCAGATACACCGATGGCAGAGCACCGGCCGGCAGAGACACCGATGACAGAGCGCCGGCCGGTGATGACGCAGAGACACTGATGGCAGAGCGCCGGCCGGCAGAGACACCGATGGCAGAGCGCCGGCCGATGATGACGCAGAGACACCGATGGCAGAGCGCCGGCCGGCGATGACACAGAGACACCGATGACAAACTCCGGCGATGACGCCGCGTCTCCGAACGCCGACGCCGCTAAAAGCCTCTTAGCGCCGCCGGGGACGACCTGGCCTCGACCCTAGCCGGGCTGGTCGGCGAGCTTCTGAGAAGTGACCGCGCCACAGACGCCGCTGCTGTGCCCGGGCGGCGTCAATGGCGCAGAGCCGTGCAGACCACGCACAGGCCGGCTACTGAGATTATGCGTACGAGCATAGCACGCTCAGCGTTAGTTGCTGCGGACCTCGGTGCTAATGGCCGCTCTGGGAAAGGTTCCTTGAAACAAGGTTATTACCAAACGCAACTCCATACCACACTGACGGTTTCGGAGAGATGTGGCTTTCCCCGACGACAGGCCGAAAGATGATCGCAGTAAGTTGGACATTGATACGCACTTTCACGTTCATTCAGTCCTCATCAGTGACTCGCTACCGGCCTGCATTCACCCTAGCACCAATTACTGTCGCCTGTCGATGATAAGCCAATCATGGCACGACAAACGGCCCCGTTGCGTGGCATTGGCAATAACCGGTGGTGTAGTTCGTGTGGCGTCCCGTGTACATCTGGCGCCGGCCATGTCCGCACGCCTGACCGATTCGCGCAGCGGTGTGACCGGTCGACACTGCCCGGGGGGGGGGGGGGAGGCGGGGGGAGCCATAGGCGCCGGCGCAGCTGGCCGCTCACCTGTGGGAGTGATGGGGCGCCCGCGGCCGTCCCGAACCCCACGTGAGACGCCAGCGTGGGGCGGATTGCTGTCGCGACGCGCTGGGGCGCGCGGCGCACCGCCGGGCGCGGCGTCCTTGGCAGCTCGGCAGCCGGAGAGTTTAGCGAACTCCGAACTCACGTACGATGTTACGAGACCGTTTAGCTTCTGGATTGTCATTTATTTTTGTGTGTTAATAAACTGGATGTTGTTATGGCGTGCGGTCTGTGACGACTGCAGCGGTACTTTTGTTGGACGTGCTGATTGGCAACCCGCAGTCTCGAGGTCCCCTGTGGTACCCATCGATACGAGGTGCGCCTGCTCTATCACACAGCTACCTTCAAGTCGGTCTGTTTTCAGCACATTCGAGCGGACGATGAAAATCAAAAGCCTGCCAAGCATGCCGGAAAGAATATCTGAATCGCCCTTTAATGTTTAAAGTGTGGCACGTTTAATAGCGGAGTAATACATCACTTTGTATTACATAATGGTTTCATGGAAGCTGTCGCGGCCGCTGCCACACCAGCCGCGCTGCATTCGCCATTTTTCTTTTTCCATTTTTTTCCGTTTCATCATTAGTCATGTCAGGCAGTCGCCATCTGAGACACACATTGTGTTGTCATTCCTCCGGCACGCAGTCTGCTCGGATGGCGGCGCACAGCAGCGCCGCCGCTCGCCGGCCGGGCGTGACGTCCTCAGGACGGTGCTGCCCAGTCATCCGGTCACCGCGCAACACCGAATCACCGGCGGAAGTCTATCGAGAATCAAGTTGAGAGTGGTGGGTGGCCTCCGTCGGGAGTCACAGAGGCGCGCTCGGCAGCCAGATTTTGTCGTTTGACCTCTGACATATGCAGAGCGACCGACAGCGGCTCGATTGGACGGTGTCACGGCCTCCGAGCGAGCGCCATCGGCGCGGCCGTCTCGTCAGTTCTGTCCATCGGCTTGTAACATCTCCCCGTCGGCCAACACAGCGGCCCTCATATCAAGACGCCCCGCCTCCCTCTTGGGTTTCGGCATTTGCAACATGTGGACGGCCCTCTATCCCAGGCGAGCAACTCCCCGGCAGACGTGCAATCGGCGCGATGATCGGTCTGGGGTGCCAGATCAATACACCTTGCTTCAGAAGCTGCCTGTTCGCCGGCCGCGCCTGGCCGCAGGCGGGGCGAGCCGGACTGCGGACGAGACAGATCCACGCCACGAGACGGCTCTACCTCGGTCCGTTCCACTGCCAGGCGGGGTCGACGTCGGTTGGCGGACATACATCGCGGCCGCCGCAGGCCAGCGCCGGTCGCCATGGAGGTCTCGGAGGCGTGTTCGTCTTCGCACCGCAGTAAACGGGTCGCCACGCCAAACACACCACATGAAAACGTTGTTGAAGTTATTTGCGACATGCTTAAAAAGATTGGCGGCATGCCAACTGCTAGGTTAAAGGGAATGTTTCACATTTGAAGATATTGAAGCAAGGATCAGATGTGATGAAACAAGCTCGCTTATAATTATTGGCCTGCATATAAGTGGAAAAGACTGCTTAAGACAGCACGATTCTCTGTTTAGTAAAGATGGTCCTCAGTGCGGCATGGTTTGATTACGTCATCGTACTTTGCACAACACTGATTGAGAGCCAATTCACAGCAGTTATATCTGGCAATGGTGCTCACGAACGCCAAATATGAACACCTCGACAATTATATGTTTATTGGCCTTGTTCGCCGCATGGCTTTTGCAATGGCAGAATTTGAATAACGTTATTAGGACGTCATGAATACCAAGGCGACTATGAGATATTCTCCCCGATGAAGCTTCTCAATTTTCGCGGGCATCTAGCTCAGCATCTAGAGGGCCCTAGCTCTTAAGAGAGGCAGGATTTTGAACAGCACCGAAAGGTCTTCAAGATGGCTATTTCAGTTCAAACTCCCATATAAGTGTGAAACATTCCCTTAACTGGAACCATGGCTTTCTAAAAAGCGCTCCAATTTCATTTACCCTAAAATACGCTGGTAGCAATTTTTTCCACAAGCAGGTTCTAGCCCACACCATTTTTCACACTTTTTCACTACGTTGACGGACAGGAGGTGGATACGACTTTCCCACACCGTTTCCAAATTAAGACCGATAGAACCTCACAGAAAAGCCGGAGATTCGCGATTAACAAAAAATAACATGTCCCTAGGCCACTAACTCGCCCCATGGTGTAGGGCTAGCATGTTAACAGGTAAACAAGAGCTCATCGGTCAAAGTTCGGTGTTTCTGGAAAATCGCATTTTTCAACTGTTCTTGCTCACATTTACATATCCCGGCCATATAGCGACATGAACTTCAGACACGTTTCTTGTTTAATTCCATGAGCATTTATGCGTATTATAATGTTTTTGATGGCGACTCGACGATGTGGGGCTCCGTTGATGTTACCGCGTTGGCCCGCCGCGGCAGATCGGCCGATATTCGTCGGTTGCTGCGCGCCGCCCCGTTCCCGTCGTGCATCGCTGTCCAGGGATCCCTGAAACTTGTCGCAGCTCGGAAAAATCAGAAATGCTAGAGACACATTTCGGCGGACAACACGCGAAGCGAATTCCCCAAAGGTCACCAAAAAGTTGGACGCGATCGCACAACATTCCGCAGAAATATGTTCAGAAATCATGGGGAACGGATATGTGTGTATTGCTTTTAGAAGGCGCTGCAGACCATCGGTCAATTTGTCTCCCGTAAATAATAGAGTAGGGTGTTTGGTTTATATTCATGCGTTTTAACAGCAAGTAGGTATTTAAGGTTAAGTGCAAAGAGCTGTGGGTAAATAAAGTGTTATGTGATGGTATGTGTTTGAGCAAGACGAGTGGAAGACCGCACGGCGGTGATCGTGACCTAGCAGCACAGCAAAGGGATGGCACAGCAAAGATCTAACAGCAAGTCCACAAGGTGCGCTGTTGCCCCCGCTCGCAGGTTTCCGACCTTTGGTCGGTTTCCTTAAGCTCACACCTCCACCGAGTGGACCAGAGTGTTCCGGATGTGGGCTGCGAGATGGCGGATGACTGTTTTGCTTTCAACATTTACCTTTTTGGTATACGTGGTGTTTATGTTTACGTTTGTTGGTTCTCCGCAGTCACAGTAGCAAGTGTTACGTTCAGGAGGGTTACGTCACGTTGCATATTTTGCCACCTTGCCAGCACTGGGTCTGGCTAAGTGGCTAAGGAGCAATCGCTACACCAGGGAGGAAAATTTCAAGGAGAGGAGGAGGGCGTCAGGGAGTAAGTGAGTCTTACTTGTGCACATGTGTGTGTGCTTACGGATGTGTGTGAGTGCTTGCGTATGCGTTTCTGTGTATACGGTGTGTTTAACATAGAGTTTCTCCACTAGCTGTAAGTCATTTAAGTACTTGAAGAGTTGATTGGGCAGGTCCAGATGTCTGTCGCCGAGGAGTGTTGGCGGGCTAGGCTCTACCTTTGCACGCTGACAGTAAACTTGGCGGTGTCGGTGGCCTTCAAACTCTTTGCATTCTAACAGAGCATGCTTTACATTAGGTGGAATGTGCAACGGTCTCAGTTAGGCCCTGTCCAAACGATATTTCGGAGAGCCAGTTCCATGAACCTGGTGAAGCTGGTTCTGAGCC